TGGATTGGGAGAAGATCTTCACTAGCCATACAACCGACAAGGGTCTCATATCTAAAATATACCTGGAACTCAAAAAATTAAATCTCCCAACAACAAATCCTCAAAGAAATAACTGCCCGATTAATAAGTGGGCTAAAGACTTAAAGAGAAACTTCTCTGAAGAGGAAAGAAGGATAGCCAATAGACACATGAAGAAATATTCAACCTCCTTAGCCATAAAAGAAATGCAAATCAAAACAACATTGAGATACTACCTCACCCCAGTTAGAAGGGCTATAATCAAGAACTCTAATAACAACAGATGCTGGAGGGGATGTGAACAGAAGGGAACCCTACTGCATTGTTGGTGGGAGTGTAAACTTGTTCAACCACTTTGGAAAGCAGTATGGAGGTTCTTCAAAAGACTCCACATAGAGCTCCCCTATGACCCAGCAATCCCACTTCTGGGCATTTACCCAAATGATCACAAACAAGACCATACTAAAGCTATCAAGTTGGCTCATTTTATCAAAGGGGAAGACAATATGGTGTTTCTGTCACATAGGAGGCGCTTATGGAAGCAGCTAGCTCTTTCAAGGCAGGCACTGGAATTCATCTCTCACTGGATAACTTCTCAGTCTTGGGAGGCTGAGAGTGGGTGATCCTTTCTGTGATCAGCAAGCTTGTCAGTATTAGTTTCTCCCCTTGATGATGATTCTGAATGTCAGAATGGAAGTGACCCAGAGTGACTTTTAGTCAAATGGAAGGAGGGTTGTCAGTCTCTAGAGTTTCATCCCTTACATTTCCCTTCCTTGAGAATGTGAATATTTGAAGCACAGGCTTCTACACTTTGAAGCACAGGCTTCTGCCTTATTGGACTGAGTTGTATGTGTAAGAGGTGATTTAGTTTCTTTCATGTTACTTTTCCACAACAAAAGCCAACTCCATATTGATTGAAAAATACAGCTCCAGCCAGTAGACATTGTTGAAGAGTAAGACAAAAATGTACTACTTGCTTCTGTGTCTGCCTCGAACCTATATATATATATAATATATATATATATATATATATATTTGTTTTTAAAGCTAGATCTAGGGGTGGGGTGGGGTCAAGGGAAAAGGGGCAGATAAAAGAAGAGGAGAAGGGGGACAGGAAATGCAGACAAAAATCCCATATATGTCCTATAAAATTAAGAAGAGTAAGTGAAGGTAGAGGGATGACAATGTTGAAAGGGGTGACATTGATCAACATACATTGTATATAGTTATAAACTGCTTTTAAATGGCAACTCCTTTGTCAACTTTCTTAAAGATAATAAAGTATTTCTAAAACTAGATGTAGTAACACTAATATTAAGCGTGTACCACAGGTGAGAAATTGTGCCTTATTTGACTAACGGTCTCACAGATGACAAAGCAGAGGCCCAGGATGTAAGTCACTGCCAGTTGTTGGTAGAAGATCTATAGAATTCAATTCTATGTGTATTTTCTTCCAAACCTTGCTGATACCTCGCTTTTGCAAAGGATAACATTTCATATAACATATGAAAATAAAAAGACACTGATTTCTCACCCATATCACATACATTTACCTTTGGAAAGAGTAACACATTGCCTTTTTCCCTATCCATGCTTCTCTAGGAATTATCCTATCTGGTGAAAATAAAAGCATATCCATTTCTTAGTGACACTTAGGGTTAGGGTTCGCAGGAATTCCAGAAACAGTCTAAAATTCATGAGCATTGTATTTTCTCAAATGAACTGAGAACATATGGAACTGTGTGCATTGAAGATAAAACACTTAAAGTCAGCTACATGAAAGACGTTTTAATTTTTTTGTCTAAGGTCATTTGTATTTTCCCCCAATTCTAAGTGTGTAAATCTGGCATTTGATTGTTTTTTCATCCCCTACATAAAGTGGGGAGGGTATATTCTGGACAACCCTCTGGCTCTGGCTCCATCCTATCACTAAAGACCTGAGTCATCAACTCCCAATGCTTTGAGATTCTATATCACAGCAGGGTTTGCCTACTTCTTCCAAGGAATGTGAGACTGGATCAATTTAATGATCCCCAAATGGCTTTATAAATCAGTAGGGAAACTTACAGACTAGGAAAATTCTCCCAGCCTTCCCTTCCACTTGGGTTCACTGGTAATAAATTGGATGAAGTTAGAAGGCTTTTCTGCTCACCTGGATTTGGAGAGAAGCAGGTGAATGCTTTCTTTTTCCTGGGCCCCCATAAATCAATTTTAGACTCAAAGGCAGAAAACTTAGAAAAGGGAAAATGAACCTTTCTTGCTTTTGTACTCCAAGAGTTGACTGTGGGTAGTTAGGCTATTTGCTAATGTGCGGTTATTTTCTCATTACTAATTTTTGTATTGCTGCAACTTACTGTTCAAGGTTACCTCTTTACATTCTTGCTGTCACCTAAAAGACAGGCAAAGGGCCTTACTCATGTAACTGTAACCCCTCTGTACAGTATCTTTACAATAAAAATATATATACAAAACAAAGATAGGCAAAAGGAAGGATTATCTTATGTGTAAAAGAATGCCTTTGGCTAAGTGACTATGGATACTATGCCTTGTGGTACTAAATTAATAAAGGCTATTCCTCTATTCTCTCTCTAGGGAAGGAACTATCAAACCTGGTGATAGACTGCTCAGTGTGGATGGAATTCGACTTCTTGGAACCACACATGCTGAAGCCATGAGTATTCTTAAACAATGTGGACAAGAAGCAACGCTGCTGATAGAATATGATGTCTCCGTGATGGGTATGTCAGAGTCTTAAGAGTGTGACCTCTTCCATACTAGGTCCTGTCACTGGCCCAATGAACCAGCATGGATTAAGCATGTGTTTTTCTGCTTCCTGTAGCACACAGAATTCCACCCATGCTCTATCATCTTACCTTGTTTGAGTTTAGGAACAAAAGGAATGGTACTTTTTGGTGGTGTAAGAGCCTCAAGTCAATAGGTTCCATCATGACGTCATGTTCTGTCTGTGTCTCACCAAGTAATCACGTTTCTCTATGGATCATCATTTGGCAGTTAAATACCTTTCCCCCACTAGAACACAGAAATAGCATTACTAACTTAAGGATTATGAGTTCTTCTTTTACTACCTAAAGACTGTAGAAGTGGGATATTCCTTTCCTTCTCGTATCTTCACAGAATAAAGCCAGCTTCATAGAATTAACAGAAACGAACATTTATTTCATCATCAGACTTAAGGAAGGAAAGGAAATATGTAACACCACTGATTAAAATCAAAACACATGCAGTATTCTTTCTTTAAAAATTGGCTTTAATAGTAAATCTATTCCTATACGTACAATACAATGGAAAGATGTTCTCTTGGTTTCCCGAGTTGCTTGAAATTTGAAATTTAAGATGGCATGACAGGTGGTATGATATCAGATTAATATGAAAAGTTCCCAAATGAGTATTCCCTTTGCTTACTTTTCTTTTTTCCTTCTTCCCTCCTTTCTTTTCTTTCTGTACTTATGTGGCAGTTGGATTAATTTCAATAGATGATTTGGTTCTGTTTTGAACTCTACTCATTTTCCACTGTTGATTTGGACTATATAACTTGATTTCCTTGGCATCTCAAATGGAGACTACCAATGCCTACTTAATGTACCCTTTTTTTGGCAGTACTGAAGTATGAACTCAAGACCTTCTGCTTGCTAGGTAGGGGCTCTACCACTAAGCTATACCTTCACTGCCCCCCACCTTTTTTTCTTTTTTTGCAGGTCCTGGAGCTCAAACTCTGGGCATGGGTGCTGTGCCTGAGTTCCTTTTTGCTCAACACTAGTACTCTTAACACTTTGAGCCACAGTCCCACTCCCAGCCTTTCCTGTAATTAATTGGAGATAAGAGTCTCAGAAGCTTTCCTGCCCAAGCTGGCTTCAAACCATGATACTCAGATCTCAGCCTCCTGAGTAGCCAGGATTACAAGTGTGAGCTACTGGCATCTGGCTCCTTTGACCCTTTTTAAATGCACTAGTCATTTTTGAGATAGGATCTCACTCTCTGCCTGGACCACCTCTGCTATTTTATTCTTCCTGTCAATCTGGGATGAGAGGCTTGATTTGTCTAGAACCATGATCTTCTATATTTTAGCTTCTCACATTGCTAGGATTACAGCATGAGTCACCAGTGTCCATCGCAAAGCCTAGTTTAAAAAGCAATTACAAAGGGAACATAGGATTGTACAACAAAAATATAGTGAAATTGATGAGACAAGTGGATCATTAAAATTAAAAAATCAAACAGATTGTTGACAGGTGTAACTTTTCAGTGTAAAACATTTATTGAGCTAAGTAACACACACTAGGAATACAGATGTACAGAAAACAAAACAGCCTTACTCTAGGAGGATTGCAATCAATAAGAAAGGTAGTAGACAAGAATATTACCAAACAAATTAACACTCAAGTGTGATCATCACTATAAAGCACACGCAGAGTTCTGGTTGTCTTATTTTCTAAAAAGTAAATAGATTAATTTCCTTAGGCAATTTTGACAATGATTCTGAATTATGTTTCAGAAATGGATATCCAGGTCAATACTTGAGTCTTTGATGAAATAATATGCAATTATTTCAAGAATATTTTTCTGAACATCAGTGTTGGGTCAATATTAGAGAGTCAAGAGGTGTAGAAGATTGTACCAAATTTGAACTGACTTTTTTTTTACATGTTTGTTTCCATTTTTTTTATTTAATTTTATTTGTGAACATACTGTACAGAGGGGTCACAATTACATGGGCAGGATAATGTGTACATTTCTTACCAAGCATTGCATCCTCCTCCTTTGTTTACCCTTCACATCCCTTCCCAGCCTCCCCCCTCCCCCCCAATCCCAATCCTTCTCCTCCCCCCCCTTCCCCCCGCCCCGCACCAACGTTGTAAAGCTTAACTTTCCCTATAATTAAAAAGTCACAATTCTCTAATAGTTCTTTATTCTAAAATATTCTTCCTTTGAAAAAGCCCTAGAAAGCAGTCAGTCTTCTTGATAGCTGGATAAAATAAGACTCACTGTAGTATAATCTAAATGAATTTTCTTAATAAGAAAGAATCTACCATGATCCTAATAGATTTGAAACATAAGCAGCAAATTGTTGTAGCTGATAATAAAGATGAGAAGATAACTAAAATGTTGGGCACTGTTGTGCCCCAATGTCTAGTATACCATGCCAAATCTTTCAAATAGAGCATGGGCCCGTTCCAATCCACCTCCTCATTGTACCTAACGTATTTGGATTACTCAGTGTCTCTGGTTTTCTTTCCCTTTTAAAACAGAAAGAGCAGCCTGCAGTGATTTTTTTTTTTGGCCTTTTGAGAATACATTTTCCTTTGCTTTAATTATCTATGTGTGCTTCTAGTGTAACACCAGGTCCCACAGACCCTATGGGGGTACTAGCCAACTCATCTTATTTGCTTATTTCCAAAACACTTCGCGTGGAGCCTTCAGACACACAAAGGAATCACTTCATGATAAGTAATCAATCTGTTTGCTCATAGATTAGCTGTCCTTGTAACCAATCATCTTCAAGTAGGTTTGTGTAGAAAGTACCAAAACATCAATGTTTATACTGTAGATTCAAAGTGAAGTTATTCCATGATTGATATAATTTCATCCTATACTGCAGAGTAGCATCATAAAATGGTAAATCACAACATTGCTTAATCTACCTACAGTGCTTTTCTGAAACCTAAAAGTCTCTAGCTTTCCCTTTAACTATCACTTTTCTGCTCATCTTCAAACCTTTCCTTACATTAACTTGGATTATTCAAGCATGCACAACTAGAATACTGAGGAAAAAATTGACTTTTCTTTACACAGACTCTATGGTACTACATCTCTGCCAAATGATATATATATATATATTCCTTACACACAGGCATTCAATCCTGAGCAAACACAAAATTGTCATTTTCAAGAAATTATTTTTTAAAATAGATTTTATTATCTTTAAGTATTTGTACAAAGGAGTTGCCAGTCAACAAGGCATTTTATGAATAAAATGAATCTTGATCAATGTCACTCTTTTAGATTCTCCCCTATCCTTCCCAATACTACCCTTTCCCTCAATTTTCTAATTTTCAAGGATATTAAGAAATTGTTTATTCAGGATGGATCTGAAAGTTGTGAGTCTTCAAGAGATAATAAGTCCTTCTATAATTAAAAAATAGATATTTTCATTATCACATCACAGCTAATTATTATCTGGGTTTTCCATTTTCCATTTATAATATCAAGATCAATATGTGCAATTTATGCCAGTGAATTTTCATTCACTAGTCCCAGGAGCAAATTAACCTGTTTGTTTGGTTATATTTTTATTTTTTGTACTTTTTTATTGTAATAATGCTGTACAGAGGGGTTACAGTTACATGAGCAAGGTAATGAGTACATTTCCTATTGAGCATTGTTGCCTCCTCCTTTGTTTCCCCCCTACCATCCCTTCCTCCCCACTTCTACAACTATCCCTGCCCCCCACCGAGGTTGTAAAGTTCGTTTTCAACATAGTGTCTTGTACTATATTTTTATTTTTATTTTGGCTCTACTGAAGTTTGAACTCAGGGCTTCCCATTTGTCAGGCATGTGCTCTACCACTTGATCCACACTTCCAGCTCTTTTTTGCCTTGAACTCAGGACCAGAGTGCAGTCCCTGAGCCTCACTGTGCTCAAAGCTTACACTCCACCACTGGAGTCACAGCTCCACTTCCAGCTTTTTCTGAGTAGTTTATTGAATATATGAGTCACAGTCTTCCCTGCCGGGGCTGCCTTAAAACCATGATCCTCAGATCTCAGCCTCCTGAGTAGGATTACAGGCATGAGCCACAGGCATCTGACTCCAGACCTTTCTTTTTTTTTTTTGGGGGGGATGTCTGGTCGTGGGGCCTGAACTCTGGGCCTAGGCTCTGTCTCTCAGCTCTTCAGCTCAAGGCTAGCGCTCTACCACTTGAGCCACTGCGCCACTTCCGGCTTTTTTCTTTCTGCTTATGTGGTGCTGGGGAATCGAACCCAGGGCCTCATGCATGCAAGGCAAGCGCTCTACCACTGAGCCACCTTCCCAGCCCTGCTCCAGACCTTTTTTACTGAGTTATTTCTGAGGTAGAGTCTTGAGTTTTTGTAGTCTGCCTTGGACTCTGCAATCTTTCTACCTATGGTATCCCACAAGCTAGAATCACACTCTCTACCATTTTCAGCATATTAATTTAGGTGGAGTCTTGCTAACTTTTTATTTAGGCTGGCCTCGAACTTTGATCTTCCTAATCTCTCCTTCTCAAGTAGCTGAAACACTGCACCAGATTTCTCAAGAATTGATTTCTTATAAGTGATATTAAATAAACTGAAAGCTGGGTTTTTCTTGTAGACCACCAGCATAGCTTCCTCTTCTTCACAGAAGATATCATAAACAAGAGTCCAGAGTTGCCTACACAAGTCTATAATTTTTAAATGGAAGCAGTTTTTTTTTTAGAATTTTATTTTTCTTATATAAAAATGGCCAGAGAAGAAGACCAGTGGAGGCTGAGATATAAGGATCTCAGTTTAAAGCCAGCCCAGGCAAGGAAAGTGCATGAGACTCTTATCTCCAATTAACCCGCAAAAAGGCAGAAATGGAGTTGTGTCTCAAGCGGTAGAGTGCCAGCCTTGAGCAGAGAAAACTAAGAACTCAAGGCCGCAGTACAGGGGTGCACACACACGTGTGCACACACACACACACACACACACAAAGAATATAATCAACAATTATGGGAATGCC